AGCGTGGATGAGCTGAGGGCAACTGTGGAGAATATTTCGTTATCACCCACGGGTGTCTTTGCGGTACGTGAAGTTTAGAATGCGGCGCCAACAAATAACGATTGTTAAAAGTTTACAGAAATTTAGTTTGCTAACATTTAAAGCAAATTTAAGTAAATTTATTAAATATATATTTTCTCTGCAGCATCACAGTCAGCAGCTGCAAGGAGGGCCACGCGGCGCCGCTGCATCGCGGCAACAATCGCCGGAGATATCGAATGCCTCAACGCCCACGGCCAGCGTGCATCCGTATGCGCCGCTGCAGAGTCCGACGCTGTCCAACAACAATGCCAATAATCCGAGCCACAACCGCTATGCAGATCTGGGTGATATATTCTCGGAGCTCGGCGAAATGAGCGTCTCGGCGCCAGCATCGGCAACGCTGAGCAAACCGCCAGGCCGGCAGATACCGACACCAACATCCGCTGGCGGCAGCAGCATTGCCATACCACGACCGCCATCGCGTCGCTCGGATATGATTGCCATTGGTCCGGCAGCGGCAGCAGCGGCGGCAGCAGCAGCAGCAGCAGCAGCGGGATCAACAAATCTCGGCCGTGGACGCATGAGTCCAGCGCCGGCAATGAATCGAGCGGACAGCATTGGCAGTCTTGAGTTTCGCACCGCCATTGGGGGCATGGGCTCATCGCGTGGTCCATCGCCGCTGACAATCGGCATATCGGACACGATACCGCTGGCGGTGGCATTCCATGAGATTATACACGCCTATTTCAGAGGCAGCGATGAGTCGCGCTGTCAGGTGAAGGTGTCCGGTGATATGATGCTATCATTCCCAGCCGGCATTGCCGGCCTGCTAGCCAATAATCCAAATCCAGCCAAGCTGGGCTTTCGCATTAAGCAAGTACAAAATCTAGAGAGTCTCGTGCCCAATGGCAAACTGGTGCAAATGTAAGGGAACCGAACATTAAATACTCAAACTCTGCCCTAACGTCCCTTCCTTACAGAGATCGCCAACAGTCGAGCGGATTGAGCACGCTGCTGGAGTTTAATATGCCTGCGCTAACTGCATTGTTGCGCAGGCAGGCAGAGAATAATCCGACTGCCTCGTACTTTAATGTGGACATACTCAAGTATCAGGTGCGCACCAAACCGGGCGCCAGCTCGTGTCCTTTCCAGCTAGTCAGCTACTGGAAGTGCGAGCCCAGCTATACGGCGCTCAAAGTTGACTATAAGTACAATAATCATGCCATGGCCAGCGCCTCACCCTTGCTGAATGTCACACTCTCCGTGCCGGTCAATGGCTCCGTGCGTAATGTCCAATCCAAGCCGCATTCATCCTGGTAAGCATCTAGCACTAATGTACTTTAGTTCTGTACTAACTATTCTCCCGTTCAGGTTGGGTGAATCGAATCGCTTGGTTTGGAACTTTACGGACATATCGCAAAATTCACAGGATGGCGGTGTGGGCACGCTCCGTGCTCGGCTCGAGCTCAACGATGGGCCTTCCACTCCAGCCACGATGGCCACTCAGTTTAATTGCGAGGGTACCACCCTCTCAGGCATTGAGTTTGAGCTCCAAGGCAGCGGCTATCGCCTGTCGTTGGTCAAAAGGCGTTTTGTTTCAGGTGCGTGAATGTGGGTAAGGGCTTGTTAGATAATTGTATTTAATTTTTTTTTTGCATTACAGGCAAATATGTCTGCGAGGGCGATGGCATACGTAGTGGGGCTACGCCCACACCGCCCTCAGTTGGCTCAACCAGTCCGTATTCGGCTAAATCGAATTAGTGGCAATTGGCTCGTGAAAACCCTAGCGAAATTTGTATCTAAAACTGAAAATTAAAACATTTTGTAATACGACAAGACGGGCATGGGATTGGAGTGGCTGTTATTTGACTCACCTGTGTTTTGCTACTGTGCATTTTGGTTTATCATTATGATGTATTTTTGTAAAACTTGTACTGTTGAATCTGTTAGAATTGGAAGGCCCGATTTTGTATAGCCGTAACAACTGGATGTATTATTTGTTATATTTATATACACTATATATATATATATTATATGCTTAGAAATGTATTTATTATGTTTAATTAAATCTGATGTAAACAAAACTATGTACGTAGCTATGTAGATATCTAAAAACAAACAGACACTCTCATACACATACTACAGCGTGGGAAAGCACGTTGATTTTAGTTCACTTTTTTACACACAGAAACACACACACAACACCAAATGTATTAAAACTAATGCAAGATTTAAAAGCGGTTGGTTTTTATTTTACTGATTGGATGGATGAACCAATGTTCTACCCAATAGTTGCGAACTAAGGTTCCCAGAAACTGGGATGATTTTTAACATAACAGCGCATGAACGATTTCAAATTAACAGCGCGCGCACTGTTATTTAACATGCCTTTGTTAATCGACGATATACAACTATTATAATCGATAACTCAACAGTTTCAAACAAGCCAAAATGTGCACAATATTTATTTATACATATTAATAGTGTGATTTATCAGTTACTGCATGAATTTTATATATTTATAAGAGTTTGGTCCAAATCTTTACAATACCCGCCCATTTTAGGTGCCAGTCAACGCACGCACGAAACTGTCACCAAAGCTCGTTCGCCGCTGGCGCCTTTTCTGCGTCTGATATAATTTTGTTGCTTAATTAACAAAAATACATTCAACACATGAAATAAACCCACACACAAACACACACATAAGTATATTAGCCAGAGAACATGACAAACCGGTTTCGCTTTCGGCAAGCCGATAAAAAAAAAAAAAAAGGAAATTAGTCGCAGCCAAAAATTTAAAATAAACTCGTGCGTCTAACAAAAAGAAATCCCAAGAGATTTCGTGGGTGCAAAGTGGTTTCGAAGTTATGCACAGAATTTACGCCTGCAATTTGTAAATGCGGTCTATTTTAAATGGTATACGCATTGGTACATACAATAAACAGCTGTCGTTTCTTGTCTTTGGGCCTGTTGCGCCAGTTCTGTTATTGTTGACGCGTGACGTCATCATGGCACAAATTGATTTCAAGGTCGTCGCCGGTCGCATTTTCATTTCACTTGACACGCTTTGCCTTCTGCTTCTGTTGTTTCCACACCCCACTGAGGGGGATTTGAAATATATACACACGCATTCAATTTTTTCAAATAATGAATAAAAAGAAAATAATTACTAAAATTTCTGAAATATATGCAGCGCATTTAAGTGCACATATATAGATTCTGTAGACCTGATGGCTGCCCGTATACTATATGGGAATAATATCTATATAGTAGTTGTCAAACGATAAGATTAAATTACAAAACAAAAGTGGCAGCCAAAGCATTGTGTACGTTAGCTACGAGAAGTCGTCCGTATTGTGTATATATAACAATATATATTAGCTATATGGCAGTCAGTCACTTTAATTGTTTAACAAAAGCGACAAGCACAACAATTGTTACATACATATGTTTATTTATATTTGCCCATTGTACTACTTTGAAATTAGAGCTCGCTTGCAATGATAATATATAAAAAATTACAAACAGATGCTGGCAACTAAAATAATTGCATCTAGTTTATTTATTGTCTGTATTTTCGCCAAAAATTTATTTGCCAATATGTTAGCAAGGCCAGAAACAAAATATATGAAAACCAATCATTTCAAGTAAACATTTTCAAATAGGAAAAACATTTGATTTTGTTAGGGATATTCATCTTCAACATCATTGCACTTTATTTATGTATATTGACTCAATTAGTAGTTCTTAAGTCCAAACACGTATTAATTATTGATTTCTATACGCATTTACTTACATATAAATTATATGGCAAACTGGTTTAGCGTTTGCATTAATTAATTTTTTATTATTATTATTTATTTATTTTTTGAATATTGTGAATTAAATTAACATTTATTACGTTTCGCGCATGTTTCTAAATTAAGATTATTTGTATCGAACATTTACAGATACATATTAGATAAATTAGCTTTCGTGCGGCATTTTTTCGCCTTTAAACTTACATTATATAAACAGACATAGAAATTATGCACACATAGCATATTTTATTTTTTTTTCAGGTATCTTAATTTGTTTAAATCTGAGCACGGTGAAGCAAAATCGCTTGAACAAAGCACAAATAACAATTTATTAATAATTCTTGATAAGCTTCTAACTGTTTTAACGGTTTCAAAACACACATTAAAATTTGTAGAAATTTTTGAATATTATTATATATAATTATAATATAATTATAAGCTTACTAAATATCATTTGCTCAACGATTTTTAGATTATTTTCTGTACAATTTGACATGTTAAGGTTTCAAGATACTATGATATTTATTCTTAGCCAAAAAAAACACATTTCTTTAATTATATAACCATAATCTTTGATAAGAAGACTGACAAATAAAGTACGCACTCGCTCTACGCAACCCTTAATACACGCAACACTCGAATTCTTAACATTATAGAAGAAAATTACCTCTGTAAAAATGTACCTCTGTAAAAAATGTACCTCTGTAAAAAATTACCTCAGCTAATACATTTTTAAGGGAATCTTATATTTTAGTTTGCTTTGATTACTTTCGTTTGGTTATTTTGATTATTTTCTCTAAAAAAAAAATTTTTTTTCCAAACATAAATTGAATAAAATGAAATTATTACTGTAAACATAGATTTATTCTAATTCCTTTAATATTATTACGAATAGAAGGCATTTCATGGCAATAATCCTCCCGATAATCATCGGTTGCGTTGAGCGAGGGCGTACTGTATATAATTTTTAATTTTTAAAACGAAACTATTTTTTCTACCCATACAAATTTGTTTTATATATACCATGTATATGCATTGTGCTTTGCTCCACTGTGCGCCTAGTAGACTTAAATGTGTGTGTGTGTGTGTGTGTGTGTGTGTAAGTGACATCATATTGTTAATATATTTGTTGTTACATTTGATTTGCTGTTGCTTCGTGTAATTCGCGTGACATTTGCAATTTATGTGCGCTGTACAACACTGTACAGACTTAACGGTAAGTCGCCTGAAACAAAAAATGGAGTAGACAAAAACATACATTAAAAATGGCATTTAGTTGAACACAAAAGGTCATAAAATCTGTTTAATCTATATATGTGGCTTTAATTGCTTAATTGTAGATCAAACGGAACGTTTAATCCGGCTAAGCGAAACGTGGGGTAAAGAGGGAGGGGGGGGGGGGGGGGGTTGGAATAGAGCGAATTGACGTCTGTTTATTCTTAAGCTTTACAAATTTGCTTTTTATTTTTAGAATATTCAATTATATTTACTGTTACTTTTACGCGTCAGCTCTGCGAAATCGCTGGAAGCAAAATGCAAAAAAAAAAAACAAAGACAAAGAAATAAAAATAAAAATTCAAATAAAAAACACGTCTGGAATTAAATTTTTTTTTGCCGCCGTTCTCTTTTGCGTTTTCTAAAATGCGCAATTGACGCTCGTCTATATGCGTATTTCCACTGAATTTATTTAAACATTTGCGCTATATACGATTTCTACTAATACATTTGCTTTAGCGAAAAATTCCAAATATATGAAACTTGTTGCCTTGAAATGTGCTAGATTTATTCGAAGGATCTTGATAAACTAAGAAAAAATGTTCTCCGGTGTGAAAAATCTTGTGCATAATTCTACAACATATGAGATATTGAAAAATTTGTTGGATAACATTGTATAAAATGTGTTTTGATACAAGAAAATAAAATAAAATTCTTTTTTTACTAGACGTGCTTAAATAAGTGTTGGAAAACAGAGTAAAAAATACTCGAGTTAAACAAATGTTGGAAAACAAAATAATAATATCATTAAGGGAAAACAAAAAACTTACTGTAACAATTAAAAATATTTTTCATTTTGAATATGTGTACAAAAGTCAACTTTTAAGTGATTAACATATGTTCTAGTTGTTATTTCCTTCCTTGCAGTAAATATTTATGTATATTATAAAAGTCGTCTGAAAACTTTCACTTTGAATACGCTTAAAGTTTCGAGATAAGATATGCTGAAATGAATCGAAAGCTGATACTCCCAATCCCAATTTATATCGATACTCAACACAGTCGAGCTGTCTGAAACTTTATTAGAACAGCGACTGATAGCGAAATGATATGTATGTGAGTAATCGAGCAAAACTGTCCCATAAGCATGCCAGTGCATAGTTAGGAGCTGTGGGCCTTATCGGGCGACCTCAGCCACATGACCGTGAGGCGGGCAAATGAATCGAATCTATAGCGAAACGCCTTAAATGGCAGTTCCACATAGGTGTGTGTTGGGCCCATTAAGAGCAGCTACCATATAGTCGAAGCGAACGCCTTTACAGATCGAAAATCAATCCGATTTCTATTCTACATCATATTTTGGGCAACTGACTCATGACACAAACTTCCGTTGCGAAAAAATAGAAAACAAAACAGAAAAACTAACGTCAGAAATGTGTTTTAGACCGTGTTTATATGGCCTGGTATATATGTATGTATGTGTGTATGTATACATATGTATATGAAGACCATAAAACAAACAAACAGGCGGCTCGTACGAGGCGGGGGGCAATATGTTAAATAAACAAACAAGGGGAAAAGCCAAAGAAACGCCAAAGAAACTGAAACAATTTTAATCGTTTTCCGTTTGACGCTAAAAATGAAATGGAACTTTTGCATGTACAGTGAACACTTTATATGAAGAACAAAATCATGGGCGCGTACGCGTATCTTTTAGTTGAGTGCATTTTTTGTATAAGATGAAAACAATAGTTAAAGAAGAATCAGAAGAAGAAGAACTCAATAAAAAAAAAAATTTCAATATATACTATAATATATTCAATATATCCATAAACTATAGAAAGTCTGTAACAAGACTTTAAGCATTATCTCTATTTTTTTTACCCGTTTAAGTTTTACGAGCGCTATTTCTAAAGTACCTGAAATATATACAATACTAAATTTAGAGAGTATTTTTCAACACTATAAAATTGAATATTGAAACTATTTTTAGTAAAAATTAATATATGTATTTATCTCTATTTTTTTACCCGTTTAAGTTTTACGAGCGCTATTTCTAAAGTATCTAAAAAATATCTAAAATATATTTCAAGAAAACCATATACAATACTAAATTTAGAGAGTATTTTTCAACACTATAAAATTCAATATTGAAACTAAAAAATGCCTTTATGTAAAGTTAAAAAAAAAATAAAAGAACTGAATTCATGGAGTATTTTCTCATAACATAAAAGGTTAGCCGAATTGAGGGTCTACTGTAATTGAATGGACGCCTAAGGATGCCGCACCCAAGACATTAGGCCCGACCTTATGGCCCAGCAAATGGCCAGCAACTCACCTTCTGTGCCTTTCGGTGGCGCATTCCATGTCCGGCCGCTCCTCAAAGCACGTAGTTGCGCTGCTTCTCGGTGGGCAGCGTGCGATTGGCAAAGGAGACAATGGCCGCCGCCGGCTGGGCGACAGATAGATCGCAGAATACGTGACACTGGTTATCCTTGGAGCTGTGCGATCTGCGCGCCACAAAGGCGAATATGGTCTTCTTGTCGGATTCGTTGGGATTGTTGCTCCACATGCGATTCTCCGGATCGATGGCACAGTGCGAGATCACATCGGCCGTATAGTGTTTCCGGAAGAACTTCTTGCGTGTGTTGTCCGTCAGTGTGATGCCCTGGCCGGTGACCTTGAAGTGCACCTCCGTCGGCGTCGGCAGCGGCTTCTGTGCGTACATCAGCCGTATGGCCTTGCGTATGGCCTCGTTCCCGGTTAGCGATTCCGTATCGCAGCTGTAGAGCCACAGCACATTGGTCGCCGCACCGTGGGTGAGCAGCTGCTGCTGTGCCGCCGTTGTGGACGCCAATCCGGGCACCACATCCGCCTCGGGTATGAGCAGCAGGCAGGGCAGGGCCAGCTTATTAATGGAATGCTCATAGATGAGGGCCGAGAGCGAGGTAAACGTGGGCTCATTGTCGCAGCCCTTCAAATGGACGCCACGCTGCGTGGGCTCAATGAGAAAATGACGCACCAGCTCATGGCTGCCCGCCGGCGGCTGAGCCACGCGCAAGACCAAACCGTACGCATTCGCATAGGTGGTGGAATCACGCACCAGAAAAGTGCCCGGCGGTGCATTCATCAACAGCGCAATTGCATCCTCCCGCGAGAGCATGGGCTTATACCAGAATTTGGCCGAGTTACGGGCAAATTTCACCAAATCTGCCGCCACCTCAAAGGTGGGCGATGGCGATGGCGCTGAATTGAGACGCTGCCGGGCAGATGCCATCGTCTGGTATATGGACTCGGTGGTGGGCGAGGCGCGCTGCAAGGTGCTGCTGCCGAACGGTGTGCGCGGCGTGACCGGAAAAGCGGGCGTCTCTGGCCGGCTAGTGGGACTGGGCGTTAACAGGTAATCCGCCTGCTGCTGCTGCTGCTGCTGCTGTCCATTGCTATTTGGAGCAGGTGCAGCCGTGTTGCGTTTTGTGCTGATGGCATAAATGGGCGACAAATCGCGACGGTTTCGCGTGTGCGTCTCCAGATGCAGCTGGTTCTGGCCATAAATGTGCGCCTGCTGCTCCATCTGTGGCTCCACTAGCTGTTTGTATGTCACTTCCATTGGAGGTCGTTCCAAGCTGTGGTAGTGGTTGTTGTTGCTGCTGCTGCTGCTGCTGTTGTTGTAGTTGTTGTTGTTGTTGTGGCTGCTTCGGTTAATTGTGTGATAATTGCGTTCCACAATTGTGGACTCCAAGCGCCGACTATTGCCGCTGATCGCACCATCCGGCACATCCATATCCTGCCGATACTCAATATTCCGTGTATTATATGGCGCTGGCGCTGGCGCTGGCAGCGAGCTGCGTTCGTTGATATCATCCAAATTTAAATTGAACTCAAAATCATAATTGTATTTACTGTGACTCAGCCCGTTGCTTTGGCGTCGCAGCGGCGGCGTGGGCGGGACACGTGCCGCAGCACGTTCCAACTCACGTTCCAATTCACGCTCCTTTTCACGTTCCCGATACTCGTTGTAGACTTTGTCGCGCCGCTCGCGCAGCTGCTGCTCGAAGTCGACGCGCGGCGGTGTCACACTCGCCGCTGACCCATAATGATAGGTATTCGATATGGTATTCGTATTCGTATTCGCATTCATTTTCGAGCCATTCGTATTGCCATTTGTATTTGTATTCGTATTCACACGGCTGCCGAGTGTTTTGCGCACCAGCAAAGGGCTCGTTAAACGTGGCTGCGGCTTTATCATATCACTCCCACTACTGCTATCGTTATTATTATTATTATTATTATTATGATTGTTATAATTATTGCTGCTGTTGCTGTTGCTGCTTAAGCCAAAATCAAAGTCGAGAAAACTATCGGCGCGCGTTGGCGTTGGCGTTTTGCGCAGCGGCGTCGCCGTTTTGGCATTGCCATAGCTAAAGGGCAATGAATTTTCGCGCGCGTGATAGGGTATCCCATTGCCGTTGCCATTAAAGTTTTTATGGTAATTATTGTTATTATTATTCGTGTGGCTATTATAGCTGTAGCTGGTGTGATACTTGTTATCCGTAGACACGGCAGCACTATCTTCGTACGGCGACCGCATAGTTTCGCGAATTCCGAACGACTGATTGAATATGGAGAGACCCCCTGGCCTAAAGCAGAGAGCGCCACTCGCACACATACAAACACACGCACGTATACACACACACACATGCATGCAGCAGCCACACAACAGCGGGCAACAAAAATGAAAAGTAAGCGTTGGCGTAAGCTCAAGCAGGCACGCTCTCTCTCGTGCTCTCTCTTCTTTTTGCTGGCCAACTATTAGATCCACTTGAGTTGTTGTTGCGCCTACGTGCAAGTGTACAGTGCTGCAAGGCCTATTTTAAATGTTTCATTGTCACTTGATGCGTGCTTTGAAAATGCATTAATGCATTTAAAATCACTTTTACTCTATATATTCTTTAAGATTTTTTGGTTTTTATTGTAAGCTTTGAGCCTTTCAAAAACTAATATAAGCTTTTGCATACATATACATATATGTGGATATTATTATTTGAAATATATTTAATCTTATTCATTTAAGTTACAGCTTACAAATTAAGTACGTACATATGTATGTAGCACTATTTTGCTTTATTCCTATGCATACATACATATGTATAAATTTTAAACATATCAACTGTACGTTAGCCCACTGTGCTCATAACGCACACATGCACAACCAATGTACGTTGGCTTCTCCAAGAGACACCGAGAGCAGCAAATTTAGCAAAGTGAGAGCAGCAGAAAATACAGTGCGAACTTTGCGACAGTAACGTGCGGTGATGTCATCCCCCCACAAATTTATACACACAAACACTTACATGCACACACTCACAGCCAGTTAATCGCAACAGGCGATCAACACAGATACTCATTCAATACTTATTCGATCGGCACTCACTCTCATCGCTGCTCTCACATTTAGAATGTAGCTGCTGCTCTCTTTACCTCTCTGTCTTTTGCTGTTGTGTGTGTGTGAACATTTTGTTGTAAATTGTAAACAAACATTTCGAACGTTTTTAGCATGAAAATACGTCTTGTTGAAGTCCCCTTTATACTTCGCACCCCTCGCTGCCTATCGGCAATTGAAACCATGCACGTTTTTTCGACGTTCTTCCACTTTGCATCAATGGAATGCCGCCTACGACGTTGACTGTGCTGCTTTTGGGCTCCAGCCAGCCATCTGTTCTGAAAGGGTTGCCTTTGTCTGAGTAAAAAAAATTAAACTGAGAGCAAACTTATCAGCGCTACTTTTTGATTGATTTTATCAATAAATTGCGGTCTATTTTCATTTCAACAGTAACTCAGTCTTATGTTGCTTTCCCAGTGAACTTTTGTGGCCGACACACATACACTCAGGCCCATATACAAATAGACACATACAGAGAGAGACAAAGCGGTGGCATCTTTTTGATTTCTCACATTTTTCTTGTAGAAAGTGGAGAAAATTGTAAGCGCACCTTTTGTGGGCACAACAACAAGCAGCTTAACCAATAACCAACTAACAACAATCAACAACAACAACAACTAACATTGGCAATTTTAGCGACAGCATTTTGTTGCTTGTGACGTCAGCAAATGCAAAAATTGCTTCGAAAAAATGCAAAGTGGCTGTTAACGTTAGCGTCGCTGCTAGCGCAGGCAGCCTGTATAGTAGCTGTGGGTGGTTTGAGGTCATAGTCAGTGTTACATGCCTACCACATACACACACACATGCGCACACATAACAACAATTGTTGTTACTTAAGTAAAGTTGCTCTCTTGCTCTCTTCGTGCCCACTCGTGAGCGCAACTCGTTTACCTTTTCGCGCAGCTTCGAACATCTGTTGTTATTGTAGTTGCCATTATTGTTGTTTTTGGCAATTTTGACAGACAGCAGAGCCATGTGGAATGTCACTGTGTGTGTGTTGGTTGTGGGGGGAAATGCCCAGCCAACCAATTCGCATATGTTAAGATATCTTCCAATTGCGCATACAAAGATCGTCTTAATTTTTTCTTGAACACCGAAATTGCATTTGATTGTTGTTAAATTTCTGCTGTGAATTGTTTGCATTCACAATGTTGCGGTCAATTAGATACAAAGCTGGAGGTCGGCGGCATCAGTTGACACGCATGTGCATGAGTGTGTGTGTGTTTGTGTGTGTGTTTGCGCATAAATATGGGGAATCCTTGAATTTGTGATCTCAAATGCGCATGAAAACGAGAAAAATAAATACTTGGTGAATGTATAATGTTACTGCTTTAAATGATTTAATATACTTAATTAATTAATATACTTAACTTAATTGCAACGATATTACTATAGAATTTAAGCAAACTTATAGTATAAGTATTTTAATCGTATAGTATAAAAATGCAGTAATTTTATTTATTTTATAACATTTTTTAAGAAATTGTTATTTAATCTAATTTTCAATTAATCAACCTGCGTAAATACATTTTTGTACATAACATACACACACAATAATAATAGTACATAAAAAAATGTTATTCTAGGGTATAACGAAGTGAAGCACATTTAGTGTAAGAAAAGACTAACCGAGGACAACATACACAGTCTACAGTCCACATAGTGCACAACTACCCATAGCGTTTAGCTTTTGTTAGGCAGTGAAGGTTGTTGCATTCGCTAAGGCGTGTAACATTTGTGGACTCCAAGTGGACGATGTGTCTGTGCTAAAATATTTTGAACATATTTTCAGTTGCGAAAATCTTAAGCTACCATTTAGGCCATTAAATGATCTGACAATGGTACTTTAGCCAACAAATATTTAAATGCATTGTTTACGTGAGACGTCCTTTTTATGAGACTCTTAGTCTTATCTCCTTGGACACCGCCCACAAACCTCCTCCCACCCTTGGGCTCACTCACATGAGAAATGTTGGGCATATTCAAGTGATTAATGCGCCCAATGTAGCCTAGAATCTCTAGAGGGACAGGGGTGTAGGAGGGGGGGGGGGGAAGGAGGGCTAACTCCTAACGTTGGGCGTAATTAAACTTGATTAATTGTTGAGTCTGCATAAAGGTAAAAATCGGCGTACGCATGATAACAAAACGGAAATGGAAATTAATTAATATGAAAACTCACACAACGAAAAATGCTTTTCGCTTCAACTATTCAACGAAGTTGAAATGCCCTAGGAAATATGTTTTCAGGATAAATAGGTGCATTTTAATCGACTTTTGATTGATACTCAAGACTTAAAGAGTATTTATTTATACTTATTTATATCACACATTTTGCCTGTACATTTTCACCAATTCTGTTTTGCAGCTGTTCCAATTAATAAGCCTGATGCCGGGCAGACCTTCAAATTGTTCGCATTTTTGTCCTTAACAATTCCATAATCAGCAAACAAATAAATAAAACAGCTGAAAAACTCTTTTTTTCGCTACTTTTTTGCAGCTTGTGCGCGTTTTACGCCGTTTCATTTTGCTGCTTGCCCACGAAAAGGCGTTTCATTTTGTCTTGGCACGCAACTTTGTATATAATTACATATATATGTATATACAAAAAAAATAAAAACGGAAAGAGCAGGCTAAGGACTTTTGTGCTGTAAATCAATTGATACTTTCTCAAGTTGAAAGATGCTTAACTCATGTACGATTATTTAACAGTTAACAGATTATCGAAAACAATTCATCAGCTCTATATAAATTCAAACAGCAGCGTTTTACTCAACACTGAAAGCAACATTAGCTACGATATTTGTCGTTATCAGAGAAAACACGACAATTGCTCATCTCGCATATACAAAAATTGTCCAACACTAAGCCGATAGTTGTATGCCTATCGCTATTAGCACACAAATGCACCGTTATTGATAGAGCTTTATAGCTATCGATAGTTAATCGTTTGGTTTTTAAAGGGAACACAATATTTAGAAAAGTATAATATTGGTGGGTAAAGTATAATATATGTTGGTTATAATAATTAATATAATTAATATTATTAAAAAAGGTCTGTAAAATTGTTTTAAAAAAAAGATAAAAACTCTAACTTTGCTTAATAATTTTAACGGTCCTATGCATATATATTTATAAATTATACAAGTTCATATATAAAATTGTTGTTGGCGAGCATTTTCTTTGACGTAGATCCAACTAAGCACCCAAACACAAGCGCTATATAAACTACAAAACAATTCAACGATTTATATAAGATTTAACATTTAAAATCTAAATAAAAAGTAATTTAAGCTCGTTATTAAAGCTTTAACAATTTGAGTATACATAAGTACAGCAGCCCTCTGATTGTGAACCATTGTTCCAGGCGCTTCCGGCAATTCGAACAAGAAATATGTCCACAGTTATTATCGATTATCGATTAGTACAGCAAACGTCCAAGGTTATCGATAACTTAGGAGCTCAAGCGACTGGCTGGCTTGCAGGACATTGGCCAGTGCTGTATAACGTGCTTGTTAATTGTAGTTTTTGAAAGCTGTCAAGCGTAATGAGAACGCATAAAATTTTATTTCAATTCCTGCAGCGCCCAGTGCTGTTCCTGCTAAGATACCTCTGGAGTCTTCCGTAAGTGCATATTCGTTTTTTTTTGTTTGTTTTGTTTTTTTTTTTTGATTTTGTATGCAGCTTGCGCTTAGCGAAAACCATGAGCAAGATGAGGATGAGCAACATTAAGGATGAGGTGTTCGCCGATTACCTGGCCACGGCCAGTAGTTCACCAGCTGAGGATCGGACGGTCGAAATCACGAATCTGTTGGTCAACTATTTGCCATTCGATATGCTGGAAAAGGAGCTGCACGACCTGTTCGCCAGTTTCGGGCATATTAAGCACGTTAAAATCATACGGGATGCCGCAACGGGCGCCAGCCATTGCTACGGATTTGTCGACTTTAGCGAGGCCGGCAATGCCAATTTGGCTCAGGTGTGTCTGAACGGGCGCCAGGTGCGCGGCAAGCGGCTGAAGGTGTCGCCGGCGCGTCCCTCCACGTTGGACATTAGGAATGCTAAAGTCTATGTAGCCAATTTGCCCATGGACTACAACGAGCAGAAGGTTAGGGCCACATTTGGACATTATGGCAATATCCTGGATTTGAATGTGCTCAAGGACAGATTCACGGGCCTGTCCCGCGGCATTGCCTTTGTGCGTTTCGAGCTGAAGTCATCCGCCGATATGGCCATATCGGTTATGAATGGCTATACGCTGGAGGGTGGCAGTTTTCCGCTGCAGGTCAGGTTGGCCAAGCGCCCCAAGGATTGGGAGGCACCGAAGCCGCACAGATCCGTGGACCGCGACCAAGAGCTGCCACCCAGACAGGCGGAGCGTGCAGCGAAAATTCTCACGAAACGTAACATGCCGGAACAGACCGCAGCTGGCATATCCATGGACTCGGATAAGCAGAAGTCGACGCAGTTCAAGCGTCCAATGGTCTTTGGGTTTGGACAGAAGGCGGCTTCTGCGGAGGCTTCCGCATCAAAGCCAACTCCCGGCGGCTACAATCTCCTGATGAATGTCAACTTTGGCAGGGGTCGCAGCGTCCTGGCAGTGCCAAGGGATGCCGCGCCAATGGATCCTGCATCTAAGCAACCACTGTGCCCAGCTCCCAGTAATGGCAAATCCTCAGATCCGACCCTCAAGTCGCAGTCGTCCCAGTATTCGTCAGATACCAAAATGGACAACTTATTCGATGCCATGAAGAGCATGAAGAATATCCCGACATCGCCGCACAAAATGCTCTATAAATTTCCATTCGGTCTCAAGCGCAACGATCCGCCGGAGCCTGCACCTAAACCACATGGCTTCTCCTTTAGCTGAAGATTCTTTTTTACCTTGAAGACAACAATTTGACATGAACTTTAATTTAGTTTAACTTATTCGCACTTTTATCAATTTATAAAATAATTAAACTTATTAAAAGAGACACTTGATTATTTTCTACAAAAGTTAATAAAATAAAAAAAAAATTTAATACACTTTTCTTAACACTCTTCCGGGAAATGAAAATATTATAATGTGAACAAAATTTATGCAAAGGATATTGAGAAAGAGTATTTAGCTTTGGAATGTCCACGATGGAATATTCTTACAGACATATGGCAGATATTCGATATACAATATGAATAATATGATATACAGAGGTAGAGCCAATTTAAAAATTATTTTAAATTAAAAATATATAAAAATAATATATTATTTACTTTAAATTTCTATTATTTATGTTAAAATAAATTGGAACATTTTTAATTGTGAAGAAAACAATTAGAAATTATAAAATTGTTTCAGTTGGTCTGTATATATGAACTTCTATTTTTAGTGATAGATAAGAAAACGAGGAAGTAAGGAATTCTTCGGCAAGCCGAATCTTTGATACCCTTGTAGACATTTGCTTTAAGCTTTTGCAGATATGTGAGAAAAAGCTCGTAAATACTGAGTTTGATGATAAAAGCTTGGAAAACGAACTATTTTGCCATAAAATAAATCTAATTTTTGATCGTTTCTTCCTATATAAAAAAGAGTATATATAGTGGTGTGAGCTTGATAAGATGTGGCTTATATATAAGCAGCATAGTTTAACTAGTAATTACCGCAGTTGGTCAAGTTTTCCATGCAAGAACCTAATGTTCGACCGATCGTTCCTATGGCAGCTATATGATATAGTTGATTAATTTGTCCGGTTTCGGATTATGACGTTAGCTTGAGGAATGAAAGACTTGTTCACATAGAAACTCGAACTAGAACATAAATACTTTACGGAGTCGAAGATGTCTCCTTCTATGCGTCACACATTTCACGACATGATTATAATACCTTTCATTGGAATATACAAATAGTAGAGCTAAAATAGCTCAACCTATGTTGATATAGTCGCAAAAACAGGGTTGAAGAAAATGCCATCGGGCTGTTTCTAATGTCTGAATAATATTTTAGATCTTGTGTCTATATAGCAACTAACAAGCCAGCCAATTGGCCGACTCAGTTTCATGTGAATTTATGCAGTTGCACTTAAGTTATTTATTTATTTCATATCTTAGGTCAACACTCTTCTGCGAACTTCCTTTGCAAATAAGCCACGCCCGGCTGGCAGCCAAAAACAAACCTTAAAAAAAGAATTAACAGCTTTATCAGGCACATAAGAAATACTCCTGAATAAAAATAAAGAGCTCAGAGCCCGGAGGCAGCGTCTGTTTCGGATGCGCAAATATATATATATACGATATAAATAATGAAAACAAAGGGCGCATAAATATCTGCAGATCGCTGCAAAGCAAAAAGAATAAATAAAAAGAATAAAAGAAGAAGAAAGAAACGCATGCACGAATGTAGGTGGGAAACAAGTGAATTGAAAATTATTCGCAATTCGTTTGCTTTTCTCATTATAATTGAGGCGCGGGTCTCGCAGAGTTCAATTCTTACTTTTGGGCTCGCAACATGTTCCCCCAACCAGAGCATATTGCCAATGGGCAGGCAGATTTAACTTACAGATTTCTTTCTGGTGGCTCCTCCCGCCTCTTGCGAGGGCCTCTTTTCGCCTGGCAATTGTATGATGATAACTGAGGTTATATTCGTTTCTTGGCAAGCTTTGTAACATTCAATAGAACACTTCAGCTGCTTATTATCAATTATCCTGTATATAATAATGAAATGTATCAGATTTAAGAGATTTATGTAGATATTTACCTAAAAGTTAATTTAATAATTAATAATTAATATCTTTTAACTTCGATTGTATATATGTATGTATGAATGAAATACATTTAAGAGTTTTGTGCTGAATGCTGACTTTTCAATTTCTAATATTGGTTTAAAAATATTTAAAAATTTTACACAATGCATAGTTTATTAGATTGTTGACACAACTTGGTAGTCTACGTAATAGAAGCTGCATGTTTCACCATGAGAATTGCATAGTAGGGCGATATAAATACACAATGCATAGTATATTAGATTGTTAACACAACTTGGTAGTGTACGTAATATAAGCTGCATGTTTCACAATGAGAATCGCATAGTAGGGCGATATTAATACAATTTTTTGAGTTTGCTGCGAAGAGGTATAAGAAGTTAGGATAAAAGAGATACATACGTCCCGGCACGCACATATATACATTGAAACCTAATTTAAATCGTCCCCTTCTAATTTTAACACCTATTTGCACTGATCAGAGGGGGTTACCGTTATCGGGGACAATCGAAATTCTTGTTGTAATCGATTTTATAATTATGTTATAATATATATCAATATAATTATGTTATAATATATTCAAATTGCAAGCGAGTGTTGCTATTTAAAAAAGTTTGGCTGATAATACAAGCAATACAAGTAAGAGTATTCAAATTTCGGACTGCTATTGAATGGCATTTTTAAATGAACTTGTGTGTTGCTTATTCATATATGTGACATATCTTTTCTGATATCTGTTACATAATTATTTGCATTGCATTGCGGCAGGTGATTCCAATTACCTTTAGTTCGGCATCGTTTCTTCCGGCATTGTTGGGTAACTTTCGGTCGAAAAACACAAAAAAGGATTTGGTTTTGTTACGAAACAAGCTGGTTTATTTTTACAATTTTGCGACTTATATATTTTTGCTGTTGCATAAAAAGGGGTAGACATAGAAGAGACAAAAGCAAATCAGAGGGAATGGAAAAATTTAATTTCATTTTCATTTTGCGCAAGAAAATGCAAATCAAATTTTCACTTCTTTGTTGACGTGCTTTCATTTTCTTGAAAGAGTTGCTTCTGATAGTTGGTGGGAGGCTCTATAGGACTGTCTGTGCAGCCCAATGTTAAGCAGATTATGCAAACCTTTTTTCCCTACATTTATTTCTTTTTGTGCAAGTTTTGTGGATATTTCGTTTTACTTTATTTCTTTCCATTGTCGTATTGACATTCGTGGCATATTGTTTTCAACAACATCATTATCAGCTTAATGGAGAGACGTAATCAATTCACAATATTCAAAGTATGGGACAGGCATGATTCGAGCTGTTGGGCTGCCATGGGCCTCTCTTTGCGCTTCTCAAAGTGCACTCGTTTGAACATTTTCATCTACTATATAAGCACATCAATTTTATGTGTTCGCTCATTTGTCTTGCTTTGTACGTAGAGCATTGAGAAAACACAGACCAATCGCTGATGGGGCATGTCAACCAAAGGACACAGTCCACACAGGCTGCACGTCAGGATAATTAAGAAATTTTTCAGTGCCCATTTGCAGAAACCAAATGGTATTGTGCTGGGCTTTTCAGGGGAAATGGGCAGCTACGTTTCTTTGGTGGTGAGAATTTCGTAATCGAAATAAATGAAAATTGATTGAATTCCATTAGTTGGCCGAGGCAGACGTACAGGCAGCCGCCTGCAACTCAAATTAGGCGAAAACTAATGAGCCATGAGCATTACGACAGACATTGGGTACACTTCGTGCGTGAGGAAAACTTGCGGTCAACTATCCATTTGCCTGCTAGAATTATGGACCCCCTTTAGAAAACCGTCAGACATCATGCGCTTCATTAGATATGTTTAGTGTGCGCGGGCGAAATAAAAGTGCAGGAATATAGTCCTGAAATGATGTGACAATAAGCAGTAGAAAATTCAGCTATAGCTGAGTTCCAATCGAATTTCACTCAGTTTCGAATGTGTTGGGGTAAATGGGAAGAATGTGTGATCTGTTTGAGAACTGTTGGTTTAATTTCTCTCATATTATTTATTGTGAGAATCTTAAAGCCATTTCCTTGTCAAATACAGCCTAGAAATCCTTGGTATTGCCCTCCTACATAAGTTAATTGTCAGTGACATACTTTCTTCTTTTCATTGGGTCGTCTTTAATGCTCTGCTCCCTCCAGACCTACCAGGTATAATCGCCCCTTACTCCTATGCCTTAATTACAATAGCCTATACAACACTGAACTTTCTCCCCCCATAGTAAAGTCCTTGCTTTCAGGATAACTTCCGGAACTCACTGAAGGAGGATAGCTTCCGGAACTCACTCAAGAAGGAAGGGCTATCTTCGGCACGCCTAAGATTTAATACCCTTGCAGACCAAACCTTTTCATACTTCTCGTAATGCACAGGGAATATAGTTAATGCCGAGTATGGATAAGATATCTTGAAAAACAAAAAGTTTTTCATACAAGAGCCTAATTTTCCACCGATCGTTGCTATGGCAGCTATATGATATAGTGGGCCGATATTGAAAGGATTTTGCATATATATGAGGAGCATAGTAAAACTAATAAATGCCGAGTTTGGTCAAGATATCTTGGTAAACAAAAAAGTTTTTCATACAAGAACCTACTTCGACCGATCGTTCCTATGTCAGCTATATGTTATAGTGGTCCGATCCTGCCGGCTCCCAAATATCTACTTGACTTTGGTCAAGATATCTTGCTAAGCATTAAGTTATCCATAACCCTTTCAAGACAAAGTTATAATGCCCTCTACAAGGATATACAAAAAGGAGGGACAGATAATACTTCTATCTTGTTAGGTGGCAACACTCGGCAGGTCTCTAGCAGCAACTTGCCCAGGTGGCAACTCTGGCAGCTCTGGCTACTTTTTCACACGTTTCTGCCAACTGCATGGATTAGCCTGAGAAAGGGCTTTGAGGGGAGAGCTTTGCGGGCAGGAGAAACGCGCTCAAGTTGGAGTCGGAGCAGCAGCGCGTCGTGACAAGATTGTCAGTAAAATCAGTGCAACGCATGCGTGCAACATTCATCATCGTCAGTGGCAACATACGCCAACAGATTGTTGCAACATATTTTATGTGACTACTCTCCCCCCTTCCCCCCGGCCGCTCTAACGCTTACGCTTGAA